ATTATTGATATTTATTTTAAAAAGTTTTTTGAATTTGTAATTAATATTATTTAAAATAATTCTAGAAATTTTAAGAAAAAATTAGTTATAATTTATCTTAAGCTTATATGTATTATAAAGTAGCTCATAAACTAACATGATTTTAAAGTTGTATCTTAACTTTCGACTTAACAAATTTAGTAAAGCAACTGGGCTATAGCTATTTTTCTCCATCAGCTAGTGCAAAAGGTTATTCGGCGGCATCTGCAGTAAACCGGACTGATGTGTTAGCCATTACAACACGCCGCCTACTGCACACCCTTAGGAAATTAATAGCTATATGCTTTACAATTTCGAATAGAAGTCCATAATTGTTTATTTGCATTAAATTTGTAATGAGCACAATTAAATTAAAAAATTAAAATTTTTTTTCATATCCATTTTATAAAATTTATGTTAAAAATATTTTATAGATATTTATGTAAATTTGTGCTTTTCTGCCAATAATTATTTTATTTTAAAATAATTGATGGACATTAAAGTTTAAAAGTTTATTTTTTTGGCAAATATTAATAGAGGAAAATCGACTTTCATTTACCCCCGCAGACTTTTTTAAATAAAAAAATTTTTAAAGGACTTTTTTTCTTTTAAATGTAGGCAATTTTAAGGGTTGGACAAAATTGTTGACTTTTATTTTTTATATTAAAGCTTATTTTATTCATAATGTTGAAGTGTAGGAATAAGTTTATGTCAATACATATATACTAACAACATTCATCAAAAAACGCGTGAACAAAAAATAAAAAGACGGCATTTGTTATTTCCTTTTTCCTAACTAATTTTGGCAAAAAAATATTCAATTTAAGCTTGTAAAAATTTAATAAATCTTTGATGAAGATAAATAATACATTCATATTTATGAAGTGAATATTAGGGTTGGACGGTTAACCGAACCGGAACAGTTAACCAGGTGTTTTAGCCAATTAAGTGGAACCGAAAATCCGGGGTATGTGTTATTAACCAGCTGTGTCCAACCTCAGTGAATTCCTTTCTTCTCACTAATTTTGGCAAATCTGAATAGTATATGCGAGAGATTTTTACCTACATACTGTTAATTCTCTAATAGAAGCACATGTGCTTGTATTTTTCGATCCTCCCGTAGGGTTGCTTATATTAGAGGGTGTGCTTCTATTGGAGGGTGTGGAGAGTGTGCCTCTATTAGAGAATTTACGGTATGTTGTTTTATAAAAATACAAATTTAAAAAGCAATTAATTTTATTTTAACAAGTCTAGCTAATTAAAATCACAAAATCAAAGATTGAAAACAAAATTAGTAAGTCTATAAAGATTTTACAAAAATCTAAATTAAAATCAAATAATTAAAAGAAACGTCCAATCACATGAGCTAAATCAAGAATTCTCTTTTCACATTCCAAAATACGAAAAATTTCGGAAAAATAAGGTCGTTCAGAACGATCAGGTAGAAGAGCAGAAGGAATGATTTTACTAGAAAATAAATTATTTTAATAAAATTTGAATATACGCGAGAGATTCGGGTGGATGTGGAAGTTGTTCTGAAGCTTTAAGAAAAACAGCTTTACGTCTACGTCTAAAATTTAAATTTTAATCAAATTTAATTAAAATTATTAACTGTTCAGGCATTCCTTGTTGTGATTCTTTTTTGTTTAAATGTCCAGGCATAAAATAAGGGTCATCCCTTCCAGCTGTTAAAGATAGAAATTCTTCCATACTTGAATAACTAGAAAATATAGAATTTTAATTTATTTATTAAATTAATATTTTATTAGAATGTGGAGAGAGGGAATAGAGGGAGGTTTATTGTTTAGAAAGGTATTTCTTACAAGGAACCATATCGAACTGTCAGGAGAAATTTTTCAATTTAATTTACACCATCGTGTAGAGCAGGGTCAATTTCCCATTGCCAATTTTTTTCTTTTCCGGCTCTACCCCCCAAATCAGAAAGTTATAGGGCTTCAAAGTTTTCGTCTTTTGGAGCGGTTGATTGAAAAATTTTTTCCTGAAGTTCGAAATGTTTCCTTGTTAACAATTATCTAATTAAAATTTTAGTAGGTTTTTGGGAAAAAAGGAAAAGAGAGAAGAATTTCCCTTTCAAGCCTTTCAACTCTCTATTATCAAATAAAGCTATCCAAGTCTAAAATCAAAAAATTTTCTACACAATTCCAAAATTTACATAATTCTATTTCCAAATTGGTGATGAGTATATATTTGCCATATTAATAGTCCAAAAGTCCAAACTTGAGAAGTACAATCAAATTGGTTATTAATTAAAGTCTCTGCTGGTAAATAACTTTAAAAAACAATTTTTGTATTCAAAAATTGTTTTTTGTTTTTACCGCCATCCATCACTAAACATAATAGTCCTTTGACTAATAGAATTTGGTAAATTTCTTTGAAAAAGATTTAAATCTCCAGGATCATTTTCTGTCCAAAAATCAGAAAGACGTAAATTCTCCATATTGTCTAACAAACAAGAACGAGCAGTTAAACGTTTATGTAAAATCCCTCTATCCATTAAAAAATTTAATCCTTTGGCTGCCTTTAAAAATAAAAAAATAAATATCTGGAAATAAGTGGGTTATTCAGTTTTTCGAGTAGTTTTTTTAAGGAGGATTGAGTAAAAGTTTATAGAAAGACTAGACATGTTATTTCCTTAACGTTCGCCTAATTCCATCTTTTTTTGGCTCTACTGGTGCCGTTTTTAATAGGAGTTAAGTAAAGGTTTATATGTAACGGAGTTAGGGATATTGCTACTTCCGCTTTCACCGAATTTTGTTTTTTTTTTCTATTTTATTCAGTTTTTCGAGTAGTTTTTTTCATAGTGATGGGATAGGTCAGAGAAAAAATTAATGAAAGTTCCCTCTACAAAATTAAACAAAAAATAATTAACTACTTGATATCCCCATTTAATATATTGACGGGAAGGCAAAACATTTTGTAAATCAAATAAACGATCAAAAAGAGAGGTTGCTTTAACAATTTGGTCAAATCTAACAAAAATTAACGGAGAACCATTATACGTACACGAATGTAAAATAAAAAAGTCGAGAACACGAACCAAGTTTCTGAAATAAAATTTATTTAAAAAATAATATTTTAAGTAAAATGAACAGAATAAATTTAAAAATGTTCCAAAATTAGCGTTCATATTTGGAGTTGGAAAGATACCAACATTTAAATTTTTTTAAATTCTCGGAAACTGAACCCCTATAACTTTTCGAAATGTGGGACAGGGGAAGAAAAGCAGAAAATTACAATAGGTTTTCGACCACACTCTAAACGATGGTATAATTTTTATTTGAAAATTTTTGGTCTCAGTTTGAAATGTTCCCTTGTTAACAGTATTTTCAAAAAACCCCTACTCTACCCACCTATGTTTAATTTCAATTAATTTCTCCAAATCCTCCTCAACTTGTTTACTACTCGAAAAGTCATGCCGTAATATTCTCACAAAACCAGTCTCAATTTTATTAGGTTTGACAGCATCTCGAATATTTAAACACTCTCCATATCCAAAACGTCCAGCAACTAAAAAAATATTTAAAAATAATTTAAATTTATTTTTTTACATTTTCTCCTTTTAATTGGCCTAATTAATTGAAATTGATCTCCTTCTTTTGTTTGTATAAAACAAGTATCCCGTCCACTGGAAAAAGCTAAAATCAAATCCTCAAGTCGATTGAAGTTTTCATTTAAAAAAGAAAATAAAAGTTGTCCACATTCCTTGAAAGGAATTATTAAATTTTTAGTGATTTTTGGATAGATTTGAGATTAATTTTCTAAATTTTATTTAAAATTTTATTCCGAAATTCTTAACAAAGAATCAAGTAGAGATAAAGATTTTTGAAAAGCCTGGGTCTGTTAAAGGGGTTCTTGGTTTGATTTATTGTCCTGGGCCGGATCCTTGGCCTATAGTCCAGGAGAACCCCACGCCCATGAAAAACCCCAGTAAGGTCAAAAAATGAGTGGGTATGGACTCTGGGTACGGGAAAAACCCGGGCCTTGGTCCAGGCCCAGCTCGATCTCTAGAATCAAGTCATCACATGTTCAACATGTTTTAAATTTACTTGAACAATTTCAATAACAAATTCTTGTATTTTTCCATAAACTTTAACAGACAAAAGTAATTGTAAGTCACGATAATCCTTTAAAAAATAAAAATATTTTTCTAGTAAAAAATATTTAAATACTTGAATAAGAAAATCCCCATTTTTTTCTAATAATTCTTTTGTTTCGTCAAAACTTAAACTTTTTGGGCCGTGGAAGAAAGAACAATTCATTAAACTAAATTTAAATGCATCCAATGGTTGCATTGGGAAATCAATTGTTAAAATATCCATAATTTTTGAAGAAAAAATTTGAAAATAAATTAATTAAAAATAGAACTAAAAATGAACAAAAAAAATTTTTTATGTTAAAAATTATTAGATAGAAAATCGATGAAGGAAGATTAAAAAAAGAAAATTAAAAAATAATTTTTCCTTAATTCAAATTTATAATTTTGGCCTTCTATTCTTGCGTTATTTTTCTATTTAACTTTATTTAATCTACTAACCCCTATAACTTTTCGAAATGAGGGGCAGGAGAAGAAAAGCATAAAACTACAATAGGTTTTCGACCACGCTCTACACGATGGTATAATTTTTATTTGAAAATTTTTGGTCACAGTTCGAAATGTTCCCTTGTAGGCCAATAAAATAAAAGTGCTTATGTCCCAATACCCATAGAGGAATAAAAATTAAAGAAAACAAACATTTTATTTTATACAACAAAGTCGATTAACATACAAAGTATTTTACAACAAAAATGAGTATTATTTACAATAATTTATATGACACAAGAAAAGGATTCGTCTTATATTCTTCATTATCGCTTCTCAACAAATCATCATTCAACAACTACAAGTACCTCTCCTCTCACTCATCGTCATCTGCTACATTGGCATTTCTAAAAACAAACAGAAAACATTTTTAAATTTTCTTTTACAAGTTTTCTTGCCTCATCAGCGACGATTTACTGACAGCTTCGAATGTCGGGTCCACATATTTGGCGTACAAATTATGGGCTCCATATGTTTGTGGCAATGCCAAGTAGAGGAGAAATACAGCTTTCATGGCCCAGTAGAGAGGAAAGTAAAAGTAGATCTGCCAGGCAAACTGATCAGGAACAGAGAAGAAGGCGAACGTTGTCCAATAAACAAGCCATTGCGTGTCGTCATCTGAAAATTTTTAGTGATTATTTATTGTAGATTGAGTAGGTTTAGGGGACCTTTCCCGGTCGAATGAATAGCAAGCACCGATTGATATGCCGGATAGGCGAACCCAATCATATTGCAGAGAATGCCAGCAAAGTTTCCAAGGATCAAGTAGAGGATCATGATTGCAAAGCCAATGTAGAAGATCTTGTTTAAAAATAGGGAAAAGATTTTTGTAACTAAAAAAAGATTTTCTCTACCTGTTCACGATCTAGGCCAGTGACCGACTCCAATGGAATGAAGAAAGCATCCTTCGAATGCAAAGACTCGAGCAACACTGGGCGAAAATCTCTGAATCCTTGTATCTCACATGGACGGCTACGAATACGTCGCACCTTGGCCTTCTCATCGGCTGCGGGTCGGAGACGGCTCCTTGAAGATGAGCGTGCCGTTGTTGTTGACCTTCCACGTCTTGCCCTAACCTGTGGACTAGCAGCGGCCATGATTGGTTCTGTGTCGGTTGAGTTTGTTTGTCACTTGCGTTGACTGTGAATTGAAGATGTGTGGGGTAATTAGGGTTAATTTACATGCGCTTTTATATCAAGGAATATCATAGCATATCTGGTTTGTTAATTTAGTAATTAGGGCTGTCCAAAATATGTACTGAAATATGCAAAATTTTGCCAAAATATGCACAAATATGCATTAGGAACCGGGTCCGAAATTGTTTCTACCAACGTAAAAACACCATTTTTGTGCTTCTCTCATCAAGGCATATCCGCATAAAAAACATGCATTTGCATGTTTTGGAAGCCCTATTAATAATAGAAGACTTAAACTATATGACCAGATATTTAGGCTAACCCATGAGTTATTTAAACCCAAAACCACACCAAGTTCAACAACACCATTTCGGTTATAACTTCTTATCACTTAAAATTTAAGTTTCAAAAACACTTTCAGTATATGTAGCAGGGCTGGGCGAAATTAAAAAATAAAAAGCGAAATGCGAAACGCGAAACTTTTTTTAAAAAATTAAAAAGCGAAATGCGAAATGCGAAAGATTTCGCGCCAAAAAATCCGAGAATGCGAAAGATGCGAAAGCGAAAGCGAAATTTTTTAAAAATTCTGAAAATATTTTATTCATATTCAATATTATAAATTACGAGATTGTTATGCAAAAATAAAAGCATTAGTGCATTTTTTGAAGAAGACTTCCTAAGATTGCTTATTATTAGTGCCCGGCACCGGACCGGGCTCTAGGCCGGCTTTGCCTGAGTCCGGGTCCCAATCAGTTTAATCCAGAAAAATCTGGCCGGGTCCATTTTTCATCTTTTTCCATGGGCTTTTTAACTTTTTCACTGAACTTTTCACATTTTAATATACTAAACCATCTTAATCTGAATACCTTTCCTGCGCCGCAGGCGAGAATTTTGAGAATTTTGGAAGAACAATCCACCAGATCTCTTCCTTTTTCAGCGCCGCAGGCGAAAATTTTGGCAATTTTGGAGGAACAACACACCAGATCTCTTCCTTTTTCAGTGATGCATGCGAAAATTTTGGAAATTTTGGAATGCCAAGAAACCAGATTTCTATAATTTTTGTCAATAAATTTGGAAAAAATATTATCGAGTCGGGCCAGATATGATTAATATTTATAAAACAAATTTACAATTTAAAATTAAAGTTTAAAAACATTTATTTTTGGAAGGAAAAATTGTTTAAGTCTTACTATTTCCTATGTCTGGATTCGAACCCAGTCCCAAAAAAGACCAATGTGAACGAAGTCAGTCAACTTAACCACTCCACCCACCATCAACCAACGAAAGCAAAGGATAAATTATAAATATTTCTTTTCCTTTTCCTTTAAAAATTTCTACGTCAAAATATCTAAAAAATAAAAAAATACTACATGAAAAAGGCGAAACAAATTTCGCATTCGGACCAAAAAGCGAAATGCGAAACGCGAAACATTTCGCGCTAAAAAATGCGAGAATGCGAAAGATGCGAAACGCGAAATTGCGAAATAAGCCCAGCCCTGATATGTAGGTGAATAACAAAATTGTTTTTTAGGGCTAACATAAGCATCAAGTAATAATAAATGATTTATAAACAAAATATACATAGAAATTTCTTTGAAATAAAATTTTTTTTAAAATATTAACAAATTTAAGTAATATTATTGTTTTATAGCTCTTTCTTGCTCTTTTAATTCCGATCTTTTTACAGCATAGGCATTTATGAAAGCATTAATTATAAATGAACAAAGTCTACTAAAAGCTACAACAGTTTCTTTTCTTTCTTTTGATGACTCAAATTCAATACAAGCAATTAAACCTTTAATAAATAATTTTGAAAAAAAATATTTTTCTTTGGAAATTTATTTTTTTTAAATACATACATAATTAATAAAATTTAATAGAATTCAAATTTTAAATAAAATAATGTAAATTTATTTTATATTTTTTGGAAGTTTCTAGTATTTTGATTTTTTTGAAGAATTTCAAGTTAAAACTTTTTTAATAAATTTCCCGAAAATTATTTTCCATCCATGTTTACGGTAATTTTGCGAATTTTCCACTTTTAATCTTTCTAACAATTAAAATCCTAAACATTTAAGTAACCATAATTACCAAGAAACTGTTGTTGATAAATATCTAAAAAATGTGGTTTCATTCCAAAACGGGCATAACCAGCATGTGTTTCTCCCAATTTTATACAAGAATCTAACATTTTTTGTTCGTCCATATTTAATTCATAAATTAGCCTTTAAAAAAGATTTTTTTAAATATTATATTGTAAATACTTTAATTCTTTCTTCTCTCAAAAATAAAGAAAAAAATGTTTAAAAAATTTATTTATTATACATATTTAAATTTAATAATCAATAAAAATTACCTTTCATAAAATTTGAATTGTGCTTGGCTATAAAATATATTTATTTTCAAAACAAAAAATAATTATTTTTCTTTACCAAATTTTATTAAGTTTTGGCCATTTTCTCAAATCTCTATAGCAATATCTACCACAAGCAATAATTTCATTAAGTTTTGGACTAGCTTCAATACATCTCAACATTGTTTTGTGAAAAATGTCAGGCTTTTTAGTTATTATGTGCTGACGCCAACAACGAGCTATTCTACACAGATAAAGAAAAAACAATTAAAGAAAGGGAAAATTTTAATATGTTTTGGTTAGAAACCGGACTGGGAGGGTAGATAGGGAATATATATCTCGAAAAATATTAATCTCGATAACCAAAATTCTTCACCGAGATCTCGTATTGGTTCGGCCTCTAGTCTTGATTATGTTGAAAATGGAACCAACGTAACGCCGAGCTATAACTTCGTTCAAAATAGTCGAATCCGGGACGCCATGGTATGGTTCGTTGCATCGCGACGAGCTAAATCGAACCATATCAGGAGTCCCGGTTTCGAACATTTTGAACAAAGTTGGCATCGCGGGATCGTTGGGGTGTACCCAATTGAAAAAATGTCCAAAAGAGCAAAAAAGATTAAGCAAAAATCGAGATTTTGAATCAAGTCTCGTTTCCCCAAAAATAAATTAATTAAAAAAACTAACAATTCTCTGTCATACATAGTAAGTTGACAATTATTCTCATTATTTAAATTATTAAGATCTGCTAATTTTAAAAAATTAAAAATATTTTTTTAATTTAAATATTCACCGTATGCCTGTTTTGGCACAACAAGAACAAAAGTTTTAACTTTAACAGGAATAACTGCTGCAAGTTTTTGATCAGTTTGATCAGTAATAATAGATTCTCCATACATTGTATTTAAACGAGGGCGAATTTTATTTGAGGTACAACCATTTCCCATTTTTTAAATTTTAATTTTGCTTAAAATAATGAAATTAATTTTTTCCAAATTATTAAAATTGGGGAAAAAGATAAAAAATTAAAAGGTAAAAGATAAAAATTCTTCGAAAGTTCTTTGTTAAAAACTGTTATAAACTAGAGTTGTTCACTACCGATTATTAACCGTTACCTCAGGTTTTCGGTTAATCCAAATTTTAAAAACCCGGTTTTTGGTCTTGGGTTTTAGTTAAATTTTATTTGGGGAAAATTTTAAAAAATCACACTTGTTTTTAGAAATTTTCAGTTTTTTAAATTTTGTAAAAAGTGTTAACTTTTGGAAAAAAATATTAAAATCTTCGGGTTTAAAACCGGGTTGAACAACCTTAGTTATAACTAAAACAAACAAATATTCTTTGTTGCAAATTATGATTTTAATTAAAAATTGTGAGTAATATAAAAAAACAAAAAATATTCTTAAAAGTTTATCACAAAAGTGTCCTCAGTGAAGAATGAAAATTTAATGGAGAAATACGAAAAAATTAATAAGGTAAAACAGAAAAAGAAAATAAAAATATATAGGTACTTTATTTAATACAAACGAGAAAAAAATTTATCTTAAATTTATGAATGACGAAAATACGGCATTTTTTCTGTTATTTTTTCTTTAAATTAAATAATCACGAGACTCGATAATAAAAGCAATTGAATTTAATAAAAATTATGAAAGGTGTAAACAAGTTTAAGAAAAGGAGTGCCATAATTTGCGGATATAAACTTGCGGACTAAAAATTTTTATTTGTTATATTACCACCCACACATTTTTAAGCATCAAGTAATAATAAAAAAAATAAAAAAAATAAATAACCACCCCCAAATTTACGTCTAATATCTTTATATCAACCAAAAATAAAGTTTTTATATTTGGATGTCCGGACTAGAATAATCAGTGGGATACCCACAACATTAATTAATTAACTAAATATTTTTTAAAACTCCCAACTTAATTTCCACTTTAATAAAAAGTTTATAATTGTGTTCAACAAGTTTTTTGTCCGCAATACTTTTTTTTGTCAAACTAGATAATTTAATTTTTTAATTAAACACCAAAAAACTTTTTAAAAAAGCATTAACAAATAAAAAAAATTAATTAATTTAACCGAAAGATATATTTGGTCAATTAAATATTAAATTAATTTAAAAAATAATAAACAAAATTTTAAATAAAAATAAAATAAATCAGAAAATAATTGTACGTATACGAAATTGTTTTTATTTTATTTTCAATAAAAATATTCTAAAAATAGATTTATTTATTTCTATCATAAAAAATTAAAAATAAATAAAAAAATTATATTTTTTTCCGGTACTTAATTTGATTATTTATATTTTTTATGTAATTAATAAAAATTATTAAATTAATCAAGTTATATATTTTTATTTAAAAATAAAAATAAAAAATATATTATAAACACAAAACACATTCTCAAAATTTATATCTAAGAATATTTCAACTCAAAATATTATTAGTTTATTATTTTATTTTTAAAATGTCTGGGCCCTATTTCTCTCCTCCACTGAATCTGCGTATGCAGAATGCCGGAGAAATAGAATTTTCACAGAATCTACATTCTGTGCAAAGGATGTAGAATCTGCGAAGGGGAGAATTAGGGCCCTAGTCAGTTTTTATTCTATTTTTAAATGTTTTTTTCTAGCATATGAAAAAATATTTTTTAATATTTAGATATTTAACAAAAT